GAATTAACTTGCAGGAGTTCTTTAAAATATATCCTCATTTACAAAATAACAAGTAGGTAGAGCTGAAAGGGGAGTAATTAAAGGAATAATGTGCCTGAACTAAGGAACACAAATGTGTGTAAGAGTGTGTTAAGAAATTTTATTACTCCCAACAATACTTGTAAGAGAGTTAGACCACAGAATACTATATTGATACCGGGAGGATTTGCTGGTTATTAAGCAGACACCATTTTGCTTGCCAGGTACAGTACCTTTTTAGACAAAACTGATCAGAATAGCCAGTTCTATAAATGTAGAATTGCAAGGATACTGTTAGTATCTCTGTAAGACACAATCATGTAGCATTAAAACCACTACCAACAAATGCTCAAAAACTACAGGAGTCTTTCTGAAAGAATTAAAACTAGAGCTTAGCCTTTAAAATAAAAATAACACTCGTTACGATGGTCTGGTGACAGCAAAAATGAAAAAAATAAACACTTTTTTCCCCCATAAGCCAAGTTTCTTTCCAGAAGACAGCTTAAATATTAAAGGGCTTCTGATCAATTGGAAAATGTTTACACACTAAATTTCAAATTTATTACTGTTGTTAGTATGTCCAATTGTAGTAAACCTGACACTTTTGAAGAGCAAAAGACAGACTTATCAGTTCAGTGAGGCTCAAATATGAAATAAAAAAAGCAAAGAAAGCTTTAACTTATGTGGAATTAATTTTTAAATGTCTTTTTTGAATCAATGTTTATTCTTGATCATAAAGTAAAAAATGTGTTTGCTACTTAACTTTGTATTTTACTAATTAAATTAAAATGCATAACCCTGCATCTGATTGTTCTATATAAGTATTTCTCCAATGAGTCAGCTACATACATATTACTGTTGGAATGATTTGGCACAGTCAAATAGGTGTCTACTTCTCAGCCAGTCCAGTTCATGGTCAAATTTACTGGTGTAAATCCATCTTTACTGGCATTTTGCCATAATTTATCACACTCAGATGAAGCTGCTGAAGTTTAGACGTGGGCTTATATCTCTGTCATCTTGGCAGAGATGGTTTGAAACAAGGTTATCAGGGAGAAGTGTTGTGCTCAGTCCAGTTTATTAAGCACAGGACACTGGAATTTTTCTTAGTAAGACTGACACATATGAACCTCTCCTCTACATCAAAAATCTACCCTTCCAGTTTTCTAATATTAAATTTTCTCAAAACCCATGAACTTCTAATATTATTGAACAAAAGTACAGCATTTATAGAGCTCAATTCAAGAATAGGCTAGGGTTTTTTTAAATTATTTTTAAAAGAAAAATTATCGTTTGATGTTTACATAAAACTTAAATAAAAATGGTTACATAAAGAGAGCCCAATTCTTAGAAGCACAGAAAGACTTGTCATCTGTGGCACCAAATAGCACAAGGGGGGAAAAAAAAACAAAACAAATGAAAAAACAAAACCAAAAAGCAGAAAATGCAGCTCAACAAAGTCTTCTCCTCTTTTCCTGTGTTCCTTATCACAGTGTCATCTAAATGTCTGGGTCAGCCAGATATATATTAAAAGATTATGGTAAAGGTAAAAATGCAAGAGGTCGTTTTGTTTTCTTTATCACACTCACTCTTCCTAACCAGTTGTTGGTTTGGTTTTTTTTTTCTCCCTTCCTTTTGTCCTTTACCAACTCTGCAAACATTTCAACCTCTAGATCAAATGAACCAGGAACTCTACCAACAGCTTTTATTCATTAGATAAGGAAATTTCATTCACAGGGCACCACACATTTCATATACTGATTGAGATATGGGCCTATGAAGAAACATATTCTTAGGAAATGTATGTATTACAATACATTACTTAAATTTTGAACATGTGAGACTCCAGGCTAAACCTAGCACATCTGATTTCTAATTTCAACAGATTCCTTAATGGCATTTAAGATGAAGACTTATTTTGAGGGAAGAAGTTTGGAGAATCTAACATAGCTGTTTCACCCTACAGAATTTGAAGAAATCTGTGGAGACAATATGAAAGTGAGAGGAAGGAACTAACTCTTATATCAGATAAGAAGCCTCCCATACCATAGATCTGGCTATATATTCCAAGGATGCCCAATTAGCATCTACTGTATATCAGTTGCAGTATTAGCCCATGTTCAAGAAAAAGAAATAATATGCAAGTGAGAAAACAAAAACTTTCAAAGGAAAATCTAAAGAGAATTTGACAAGTCAGAAGGTACAATTTAATTCAGTGTAAATTCTTTTTAAAAATTATTGAAGTGATTCTTTGGGGGGTTGGGGTGGTTTTTTTGGTTGTGGTTTGTGGTTTTGCTTTTTTTTTTAAGAGACATTAATATATTGACGCATCTTAATTTCACGTTGATTACTGCAAGCAAGTAAACAAATGCAGGAACTCTCATTTATAAAATTATAGATTTAAAACAAAATTTCCACCTGGAGAACTGATTCAAACATAATAATCATTATCACATCTTCCTCCCAGTTCTCACCACCAAAAGGTTAAATTCTGTTGGTCATGGTAGATTTAACTGCTAACCTGTTTCTCTCTTTCTAGAGCTCTGTAATATAAACTAGGCTGAAAACAAACCTAAAACGTAACATTGTGAAACCTATTTCTGTGAAACTACTGCTATTTTCTGAATTGAATAAACAAATACTATAAGAAAACAAGCGAAAAGGTAATAATTTCTCTGACTTTAGACATTTTGCATTCTTTGCAAGAAACAGAGGTGCTGAAAGCATTAGTTTCACATCTCATGAAACAAAAAATATGTTTTGACTGGATTTTTTTTATTGTTGAGGAAGGATACTTCTTTTAAAGGATATCAGAGACCTATTCAATGACCTTCTGAGATAAGTCGTGATAATTTAATCACTTAAAGTAAGCTTAGGATAGAGCTGAACTATAAATAGATCCCTTTAAGGTCTGATAACACCTCAACAAGAAAGAAAAAGCATAATATTTCATTAGCTTTTATAACTAAGATATTTGGACAAAGAGGAATTGATAATTTGGCTTCAATAAGAAAACTATGTATGAAAATTTTGGAAAATAAATAAAAGTGTGTCCTGGTTTCGGCTGGGATAGAGTTAATTTTCTTCACAGTAGCTAGCATAGTGCTGTGTTTTGGATTTAGTACCAGAAGAATGTTGATAACACACTGATGTTTTCAGCTGTTGCCAAGTAGTGCTCAGACTACTCAAGGACTTTTTGAGCTTCTCCTGCTCGTCCAGGTGCATAACAAGCTGGGAGGGAGCACAGCTAGGACAGCTAACCCAAACTGACTAAAGGGCTATTCCATACCATAGAACGTCATGCTCGGGGGGGTTAGTTCGGTCGGTTCGTTCGGTCGGGTCAGTCGGTCACAAGCAGAGTGGTCGCAGCTCGGGCTGTGTGATTGCGGCTCCGGGGGGGGGGTCGCTGCTCGGGGCGGACTGGGCATCGGTCAGCGCGTGGTGAGCAATTGCATTGTGCATCACTTGTTTTATATATATTCTGTATATTCTCTTACTATTATTATTATTACTATTGTTATTCTTCTCTCTTATTAAACTGTCTCTATCTCAACCCACGGCTCTTACTTTTTTTTTTTCTTTTCTCCAATTCTCTCCCCCATCCCAATGAGGGATGGGGGGGAGTGAGCGAGCGGCTGCATGGTCCTTAGTTGCCAGCCGGGTTAAACCTCGACAAAGTGTTAAAAACGGTGGTGGCATTCCTCTTTTTTGGTTGCTCCCAACGTGTAGTTAGAAAACTCCAAAGAACACAGAAACCAGCATTGCATTAGATGAACAATGACTGTTACTCATGTTAAAGGTGGATCAAAACTGAACAGCAGCAACAGCTTTCAGCAAAAACACCACTTCAGAACCAGTTTTGTTTTACAAGTACCTATACTCAAAGAAGACTGCCTATGTCACATCTGTAACTGGCACCAATTCAGTGCAGTCATGTTTCCTGACCAGACCAATGTTCTTCAGCTGATTCAGAATAGTGATTGCTGCTCTCATAGCCCTCACCTGTACTCCAGCTAATCCAATATTCATGCACAGGCATTGGATATCCACACAGATAACTACCAACAGCACGTGCCTACTGTTACACAGACACTCCTTTTCCCGAAGCCCACAGATACATCTAAAAGAATTATTTCCTCCCAGGGAAATCCTCCCAAATGAAGCTAACAATGACCATCTTGGCTTGACGTGCTAGGAGTTGGACACAAAAAAAAAAATCAGAGACTTATACAGATATATGCACACAGGAAAAGAAATAGCACTCTGTGTTTGTCTGGATGAAATAATTAACAATTATGAATTATGAGCTATGGAGAAATTACATCCAAACTGTATTTTCACAAAAAACATCAACTTCCAGCACTGAACTAGCAGTATTTTCTTTTCTCTCTTCCAGTCTACCTTTGTTAATTCAACCTAGGACATGTTATAAACGTGTCTTCATGGTGGGAATGGAAAAAGTGACTGCAAGTTTGACAGAACACACTATAACACATAGGAGGAAGGACACAGAATAGGTTAACATAGTGATAACTACAGTATTTTCTTCTCATTTACATGAAGAATAGAAAGAAAAACATCAGTGTAGAAAACTTCACTGAAAAAGTTAAGATTCATTAATGCAAAAAAAAAAAGTAGAGCGAAACTATTTTAGCTATGGAAATTCAGAAATAGCTCCATATCTCCCAGTGAAACTTTGCCACAAAAAATACCACTCTTTTTTTTTTCCTGTAAATTAGGTTACTTTTTTAAAGAAAGAGAATCCCAAATCATTCCAGCAGTAATATTCCAACACCATTGCCTTCTACATCTATGGATATGTCCACTAAAAGTCCAGTTAAAATACAGCACTTGTACATTTCTCCCAATCTGGAATCTCTTCACATTTAGGAAGCAGCAGCTGGTATTGTTTCTATAATATTACATTAAAACTATATTTCAGGAAAGGACACAAAAAAAAGTTATTACAAAACAGAACTCACCACAACTCCAAACTGTTCCGGCTCAGACAAATTATTATACTCGCTCTTGAACTTGGACAATGCATTCAATTGTTCTTGTTCAGGAAGATGTTTTATTAAATTCTATCAAGAAAAATAAAATAAGCTTAAAAATCTCAGATTCTGTGTTGCTTGTATTATTGTAGGCAAATGGTATTATATATGCATCATTACCATACACTCCAAAGAAAACAGTCCTCCCTGAAGACAATAAATTGTAAATAGGCAACACACAAATTAATGTAACAGAGAGTGTAAAAAGCAAGTGATTAAATACTGCTAGCTAGCATCTTATGCTGATTCTACAAGCATTTTGGTAGTCTTTTTTTAAACATCATTTTTATAGAAAGAATATGCTTGATGGGCACTATGCAAACAGAACACTAAGAAGCAAATAGGATAAAAACTTCAAGTGTAACATATCCAACTAGAGGACAGCAAGAATTATTAATGCTAGACAAAAAAGTTTTTTAAAAATGGGTAATTAATTTTCTAGTGTTTCAGAACAAAAGCTTAAACCCATTAGGTACTACTTAGCCTGAAAACTTGCCAGACGTGGGAATTCAGAGGTGGGACTCAGCTTCAGCTGAACTCGGGAGTCCATATGGGGAACTGGGACACTAACACAAGTGAATGTTTTGTGAACACAGGTAAGGGAAACTAAACATGTCACCTTTGTCTGATCATCTGAAGAGTCCTCAGACTCCCTGGAGCTTCCTGAACACTTAGACACTGATACTTATATATAGACACCTACATTCAGGTGTATACCTTTAACCTGAAACCCACTCTAATTACAATCAGCTAGGTTGGCTAAAATACTATTACAAGGTTCTGGAAGTAGAGAGCTTCTCAAAACATTTAATTATGGTATATAATTTGAGTCAGTAGCTCAGTTCTGTCCCTTCCCAAGATGACTACTATAAATATTAGGCAATAGTTAGGGTCCCTCTATAGCCTGCTCTCTTCTCAACTTATGACCCTTGTGTTCCTGGTTACACAGTGGCTAAGCATCCATCATAGTAAGAAAACAAGAGAGATTGTGATCTTTCCTAAAACACTCCCTGGTCTACTGATAAGATCACTCTTCTGAACTGAAATAAAGATTCAAGCCTTCTAACACTGAATCAGGTCTAGCAAACAGCTATCCCACAACCTACTACCGTATTTCAGGAAAGGATCGGAAAGACTAACTCCAGCATTTCCCCTTTACTCGATGGAAAAGGGAGACAGTTTGGTTAAGCCAGTCTGTTTTACTACTCTGCAAGTAAATAGCGTTGGTGATATACAATCAACAGAAAAGAATTTACTTGAGTCAGTGAACAGGATCTCCATCTGAAAGTATTAAAAAAAACCAAAACAAAACAAAACTAATTTTATACACAAAAAACCTAATTTCTTCTTCTACAGGAAATTCAGCCAGTTCGGATATACAAAATTATCTCGCTGGGGCCAGAGAGATAAAAAGTCATAGCCATGCTTTGCTTAACATACTTCCCTAATTTAAGAAGAAAGAATTCAACTCTACCTAGTACCACAAAAATATCCATAAACCTGTAGTCAACTCAGGGCTCTGTGCTATCTTCAAAACCTGTTTTAGCTAGTTCAAAGCTAGCCCCAGGTGTTTATTCAAAGTGGAATAGCACCCGTGGATTACAGTATAGGTATTCCTCTTGTTAAAGTATGAAAATACTAGATTTGTAACTAAAGAACAGATGTATCCAAAGTGTTGAAGCTTTTTAAAAGCAAATTTAACATTTTGCTTAATACCAATTCTTTTCATTTTTTAAACCTTAATCTCTTAGTTCTTGTAACAATTGTCATTTTATGGTAATTTAGCATTTGTCAAACCTTTTTTTTTAATGGATAAAAAGACCTAGATAGACAGCCCTTCATCACTTTTTTGTTTTAGTGTAAAAATAATTACTATTTTAATAACTGAAACCCTACTTTGATTCTAAGAACTAAGATAATTAATTTGTTCTACAATATTTTGTGATATCCAAAGTAAGGACAACATAGTTTATCAAGAAAGTAAAGTCAGCAAATAAGAAAAGCTAGACTTATAGTAAAGGTCTAAATAAACCAAAGGAAGAGTAAATGATAGTTAAAGAGTAGACTGCTTCAACAGACTGTCCATGCTCAAATATGGATTTTGGTAGGAAAAAAAAGAGAATTATTAAAAATGCATGAATGATGATGCTTAAAATAATAATGCAAACTTAAATCTTACGGAGCTTGATTTGGACATGGTCAAACTGACTTTCAGGATGAAGAATTTATGACAGTAGTCATATTTATCCTTAGCATTATTACATATGGAAAATATTTTTGCAAAAAGACTACATTTATTAATTATGGATGAAGATGTCCAGCACTAAATCAGTAACACTGAGCAAAAATGAAAGGGTAAAGAGTGTAGAAAGATATATTTTAAATTATAAATTCATAACCCACTTATCTCATCTTGATATACAACATCTATATATAACCAGCTCTAAATATACCACAATTCCTTAATCTTTAGTGAGATTAAATGTTATTGTTTGATGTTGAAGTATTTTTCACATGTAGAAAAACTGACCATAAAACTTTCAAAAAAGAGAAACAGTCAAGTGTTATATGAATGTTTTCAATATTGAGAATCAGAAAAAAAAAAAAAAAAAAAAAAAAAAAGAACCTGAAGCAGCAGCTGATATCAAAGTAGCTTTATGGTGTTCAGATAAAGCTTTTGAACTGCTAGAGATGAAACAATTTTTTAATATCAAACAGAGAATAAGCAGGAGAAAGAATTTTGACTAAGTCACAAGAAACATTCCAATGATTAGTCAATGACTATTTGGACTACAACATGACTTTTGGAGGGTTTATGTCTTTAAGAACTGGATTTAATTTC